GTACCGAGTATCATCCCATCAATCAATGGCGGAAAATGGGAGTATATCGGGGAATTTGCCTAGGCGAAAATTGTTCATTTGCCATGGTGAACAAAGAAGGCCTATATGACCTCGCTTCGTTTGCCGCCATAAAAAGCTCCATACGTACGTGTGTAGACGAGCTGTATTGAGATGCGTGTAGTGTAGCATTACGTGGCGTTGCAACAAGCGACTGAAGGTTTTGGGTGTGTCACTTCAGTGTACAGTGGGTAATTGCATGCTTTGTATTTAAATGTGATTCAGATGTTTGTATTTCGTTATTTTGCTAAGTCTACTGCTGATTGTCACGAAATAGTATTTCTTGTGGTCCACGTAGGCCTATGTTGTGATAAATGGTGATACGCGGGATTTTCGATACTTTGTGTGTATTCTTTACATCATGCCGTGTGTTGATTTAAATTATGCTTCTCTGGGCCTTTTACTATTCCACGGGAATTTGGAGGATTCTTGTTAATTAATTTCGACTCTTAACGTTGATATGCTTACTCTGTGTCCTTTCTCCATCCTTTGAAGTAATGATGTTCTTTCAATAACAGAAGTTGGCAACGGGCCTTTCAGTATGATCTTTTTAAAAAAATCAGGAAAAGTAAAAAAAACACTGCATGCAGGATGTACATTGTCTCGGTGATTTTCAAGTTTCCTTTCCGCAGTATGGAATGTTCAGCCTTTTCTATCCGCGGTTCAGGAATTACTAGAGCCCAGAGAAATCAACGTCGGCGTAGGCTATGGATGGCCCTGCAGAAACATGATCTGGAGGGGCATAGACCTTGGAACACATTGAAAAGGATTTCAGAGAGGGAGAGGGTGACACTGTCCAGGAAGAAAAACAACCATCGCCAGTCCCCATTGGTTAAATCCTGGTAACCTTCCTCGGCCAGAATTTCAGCCAACCCGAATGGCGCTTTATGCAACCATAGAGCTACAACCCATGCAACCATGATGCAACGAGCAAAAAAAAAAAAAACTACGAGAGAAAAAACTACGGCAACTTCTTTCATTAGATTCACGTGACTGATGTGTGTGCACACGTTACACGTCGACCTGTCCACCACTCGCGTGCACTCGTCAACCGGCGATAACCAGCCCTGGAGAACTGAATCATAACAAAATGGAAAATTTCTGGCGCGGTTGGCCGGTCCTTGAGTGTTTGCCGTTGTGTGATGTGGCGTGGGCGGGAATTATCTGTTTGTCAGGGACCGTCTTGAAAATAGTCGAATCCTATCCTGCAGCAGCGCGCGCTAGCTGCATGCATGGAGCGCGCGATTGGGTAGTGCGCAGTGGCAAGTGGGGCCTCGGCGATCTGCGCACATTATGGATAGGCTTGGTACTGGTTGGTACCAGCGTGCCGGTATGGTTATTGTGGATGAGGATATCATAATTGGACAGAATTCCACGTTGGGAATCTGGTCGTGGCTTCATGTTAGTGGAAGCTATCTTTGTGTTCCAAGCATCCCATCAGCAGGTCTGCCACAATGTAGGCCTATTTATGGTTGTATGGGAAGCGTGTGGTTTTCGTGTACACGTATTTACACATCATGGGGCAGACTGGACGATTCTAATGTCTAAAACGGACACATTTTGTTGCTTAATAAGTTCCGCTTTCATGCTACAGCAATGGTTGTACTCATATCTCCATATGTTATACATGTATGCACATGTAGATACTGACTCGAGTACCCGTAGTCTTTCCCAGCGCCACATCACAAAGCACGTTCGCCGCTTCAAGTGGTGCGACGGGCACAGCGCTTGCAAGATGGATTAGCCTTGCCTGGCCTGCCCGATCTTATCTGGTGCGTCCCCAGGAGAATAACATTCTTGCGTGAAAGAATCGTGTGACATCGCCTGGATGTCAATGTAGGCCCTACCGAGCTTACGGTGAACACTCTGCTTGCCATGCGTGTCCGTCGCTGGGCAAACCGGCTGCGATCGGAGGCATGTGAGCGACCGCTTCATAAATGTATGCAGTCTAGTATGTGCATTCTGTTCTCGGAACATGCTGTTTCGGTATTAATACTCCGATTTTGTGATTTTTGTGAGCATTCCATGCGGAATAAAGCTATTTTGTTGTTCGGGCATTTCGATGTAAAATTAAAGGTTATGATGAAAGGCCTTTTGCCGACTAAATGTACATGTACACATAGAACGCCAATAACAGTGAGCATATCCTGTCAGCCATGTCGCAATACTGGGAATTGAGAGATAGGGGAATTTTGTGGTACTTTACACTCATGACAAAGAGGCCCGTGACGGGTAATTACAGAATGCGTCACTTGTATGCAGGACATGTCTCCTCGTAAATAACTGTAGCTTGCCGAAAGGAAGGCGGGCACGTTAGCGCTGACATCATCTCCGGGTTTCGTGTGCCCACTTGGGAAAATTTTGTACGGGGCTGTGGAGATATTCTGCCCGTATTTCTCCGCGGACCCAATTCACATGATTCGTTCTTGGTGGGGCCGGGTGACTAAATTATAATATTTTTCCAAGGTGGGTGCAGTGCGTGCGCGGCGCGCCTCGAGAAAAATCAGATCTAGGCACCAGGGAAATGAAGACCGTCGCCTGGTGCAAGGGATGGCTTGAGCGGCTTGGTTTCAAAAAATAAAGCCGTATTCGAGTCAACTGACTTACCAGCAGGATGACACGCCTATGCCAAGTACTTTTTTTGGCAGCCGCTGTATAACCATTGACTGCTACAAGAGCACGTGCTGTTCTAATAAGCCTTTTGCGAGTTAAATTTGAATAGAATCTGGTACACATGAGTTCTTTAAATTCACGTGAACACAACAATTTCAATTGTTCGTACAAAACGCTGTAGCTATTCTGCTATACGTCGTGATTCGATTCAAGCTTTTGCTTAATATTACTAGTTTTATAAGAGACGCTTGCTCCAATACACTGTTTTCAATGGATAAGAAGGGCACAAAGGAACCAGTCCATTCCAGAGATGGTGGTCGCTATGCAAAAGCTTGTCCCGAATCAAGAGGTTTAGCAACAGTGTCAGTGTTATGTTTATGTGCAATCAAGTAACACAATATACCAGAGTTTTCAAATTTAACTAGCCATAACGTTTTGACTTGCCAGCAGTGATCGGACAAGTGCAATTGCCTAACACAGCTCAAACACATTTGTATGGGGAAACCAAAAAACACCAGGCGTGACTGTTGTTAATAACATCGGCCTGTTCGACTTAGTTCATGGATCTCAGCCATTCTTTACAGAGCGCTTAAAATTTCCTAGAATTTTTTTCCATGGTCTAAATGAGCCCAAATTGTACGCCTTCAACAAATGGGCCTCATTATTGGCCAGTGCGAACGCTCCGTGTTCGAAGTATTTATGCCCCGGTGCATCCCACTTTTGCGTTAGGGCAAGGCTGTTGGGAAATAGTAAAAATCACGATGAAAGAAAATTCATTCCTAGTGAAATTTCTGCATGCTATTCATTATGTCTAGTACAAAAGCAGAAGAAGTTTGGTTGATTCTCGAGGAAAAAAAGGACTTTCTCAAACTTTTTGTGGACGGAATATTCAGTTACGGTCCGTCGTGTTCCTCCAGAGAGCCGTGTGGTTCGCCCAAGGCAAAAAAGGCAGCTGTTGCCTGCGTGTGGCCAGCAATAAGACTATCTTCGATTTTGAAGTAATGTGGTTAGCACAACCGTGGGGGACAATAAAAGCCCAAAGGCGTATTTTACACTTGTACCTAGTTTTCACACAAAACGAGTAACACACACAAAATGGAGAGCTCTTGGATACATTCGCTCTGCCTTAAAATCTGTTTTCTGTATGCAAGGAGAGGTGTGACTGTGTCATTGGATTTTGTTTCATTTGGTTTAAAACCTTGTAAACTGTAGGTTCGCTTTACGATATTAAACGTCTCTCGACTCACATCGTCATGGTCTATAAAACCTCTTATTTATATAAACTTAATATAAATTACACTCATTACAAAGGTATGCAAGGCGCGATAATGGCTGGCGGATATCTAGCAAAATGCTGCCAAATAACCTTTGCTCTATGGAGGAAGATAGCATGGCGTTGGACGATATTGCACCGGCAGGGACGGGTGGCGTTATCAGAGAGAAGCTTATGAATATGGCCATTTCTCCTGTAGGCAATAACACCCATGTCAGATTTCCGTTAGCTGTGTTGTTTTATCTTGGAACTGGCACATCTGGACTATAAAAATAACGTGTGTGCTTGAAAGCAATGATAACCCAGATTCAGCAGTTAAAGACATGTCCATCGTGAATATTCATTTGAAACATCGAGTCAAAAGTTCACAAGAGAGGTCTTTCGTCTTTATAATGACAACAATGCCCTTTGTGCATTCCGTTAAATAGAACACGCCCTTGTTCAATTCCAACGTATTATGCCTACTGAAAGTGCACCAACATTAATTTTCTACTCGCTTACAACATTGGCGACGGTAGAGGGCTCACTCCATAATTTGCGGTTGAGTCAGTTCGACCGAAACATTCGCCGAAGCTTCCGACATGACAACCAAAAAAAATCGGTTCACTGAGAGAGTTGTCGTCTTCGTCACCTACGTTTGCAGAAGTGAAAAAAAGCTTTCTGGTTCACATTTTGTCAAACGGATTTAAAGTAGATAACATACTGAACAGCCCTGTGCTCCAAATGGATTGGATTGTGAAAGCCGCCTTGCTGGGTAAAATGCTGGTAATCCAGACAATCAGCTGGCAACTATCGGCCAATCCCCAATTGCACTGTTTCTTGATGCGATGTTTCAGTCGGCCCCAGCGTCATATCGAGGCTTTTGGGACCCAAGGGGAGAGACATGAACAGGAAACTGTCTGAAAAAAAGTGTAATCCTGAAGAGGAACACGATTACATGAGTCATTCCAAGCGGGGCTTTCATGGCTAGGCCAGCCTAGGATGACACACTGGCCACTTATTTGTTGGAAACGATTTCTAAAACTGCAGGCGTCAACTATGGAATTCCTCCACCAAGTATATGTACACCCATTGACTTCTGTACTGTTTATTACAACTAAAACTCGATTTTCATGAAAAAAGGGGAAACTACCAAAATATTTACATGTAATCAATTTTTTCCAAACTAATGTGGCAAAGCCAAATGTCTTCGAAACAAATTTAGAAAAACAGCTCTAAATAAAGCGGCCCAATAATTAAATTACGAGGGGAGGGGTCAGTGACGTGCGGGAAAGGTTTTGATGAGGAGGAAGGGCGCATGTAAGACAACCTCTGAACTGAGGGGCCTACTTAACACTCATGGGAAAAAAAGAAGTACAATCCATCTTGCTAAAACGGAGCCTCATTTTTTTTGCTTGTTTAATGCAATTACAGTTGACTCTCGTGATAACAAAGTTGCAGGGACTGAACTTTGTTATAAGAGGAGTGGAAAAACCAAAGAAAAACATAAGAATTCAAGAAAGTGGGATTCTCAGAATTTGTTCTTTACAATGTTTTGTTAGAGCAGTGCTCTTTATAACGAGAGTCGACTGTACATATTTAAAACTGGTGATGGAGGGATCAACTTCTTCAAAACGTTGCCAATCTTGAAAACCAGTAAAAAAGCTTTTGCAGTACTTCCAAAAAATGAAGGGGACACTTTCTGAGATTCTCGCCGAGACAACTTCTCGAGGAGCTGGACGGCTGGATGGCCATCAAGTGCAGACCGGAGGAGACTGGAGCTGCCCATCGAAACGGCGCACCACGTGTCATGGGGTTCAAAAGGGCATTGATCAGTTCCTGGGCGGTCCAAAGTGACGCTGAGGCGGTCGCATCGGCGGACGCATGCCACGCATTGGGGGAGGTCCCCTCGGGCCACGCCCACCTGTGTTGGGGGGAGAGAAAAGGGAACACATCAATATTATCACAAAATGAGCGTCAAGTCTAACTTAGGAGTGCCTTGAAGCATGTAAATGACCTCCATCAAATTTTAGTGCGCAGTCCTGCTTTATTTACAGGGGAAATCTGCCATCTTCTCAATGTAAATAGTGGTAAACCGACACTTTGGTGTTTAATTACTCGCCATCATCAGCACAGCTAGAAAGGGTGATTCCTGTGGACGAGGGCATGAGAATTTTTTTTTTCTACCGCAAGTCTAAATAATTTACCAAAACACAAAAATACTTCAAGAGCTTTACTTCCCATGTACTCATCACCGTTTCAGACGCATTTCTGGCAATTTTTTTAATTTCAAAGAGGAGATGTTGAATATGCTTGGCTGTAGTAATGTCATGTACAGTGTACATAATGAACATACCAAACGGTGGTGGTCTAGGGGGCATTCGACCCCCGGGGAATGGAGGGGGGAACATTCCTGGTGGACCGTGGGGTCCATCACGATGGCCCGGGCCTGCAAGGACAAACCAAAGAAATACAGTGAGAAATAGTAGACCGACTTGCTTTCTGATTTTTGCTGTGAAATAAAAAAAGGACCAGACCTTGGCTGCCTCATTCTGAAAAGAACCGGTCCGCCTCTGAGCGGTGTTATTAAATGCGCTGTACTTCCCAGTGACTCAAACCAAAATACCTGGATCTCCAGGTTCTTTATGAACTTCCAAGATGGTCAAGAAGTTTGCTTGTGTTTGGCAGTCGACAGCCCAAACAGGCTCCATTTCAGAAGACTGTTGGACACTGCCTGATGGACATGAGCTTTATTCACAAGTTGACTTTTTTGCAGTGCAACTACTTGATGTTACATCGTAAATCTGCATTCATGTTTGCTTTCAAATAGGAAACAACCTTAACCACTTGCCGCTGGGGTTTTCGGTACGGGACACGTATTCTTAATACGCGTGGCCGGGGTCTCCAAAATTGGACAAAGGGAACTGGGCCTTGTAGCAAAAGACCGTACTCGGAACAAAAGACCGGGCTGCTGGGCATTACCAATATTTTTTCACTCTCAAAAGTGAAGATAATCGAGCCTTGTTTTGAAACAGTATACCACGGTTTTGGGGATTTAGCCTGAGCAGTTTACCACTGGGGACAAAAGCGCTCGACCACCGCAGCGATGAGCCACACAGTACCGCTGCACGCTCATCTGGCCCCTATTGAAAAGAGGTCAGCAGTGCACTGAGCCAGGTTCGTGAACAAAAGACAGTTAAGTAACACCGCAAATTCTGGGCTCTTTTTACAAGGCGGCAGGCCTGGTTGAAATACTCCAGCGTCAATAGATGCTGTCTGTCAGATAAGAGTAGAAACAGACAGTCTTTCGTGTGGGTGTAAGTGTCCAGGAGATGAAGATATGAATTTTTAAAGAATTTTGAAAACAGAAAAAAAATGATAATTATCCCACCCCAGCATCAACAACGTTGATAACTTGCACAGGCACGAGTGGTTAAGGCAGATACTTCGTTGAGCGGTTCAAAACATAAGCACGTTGGTTAGTGTCAGCTGAAAGAGGTCGTTTAGTCTCTGATATCTGCGTGTTCACATACCTGGTGGCATATGAGGGGGTCCACGGGGAGGTCCCTGACCGTGGTCCATGTTGGGCCCATCCTGCCCTGGATGCATAGGGGGCATGGGCGGGAACGGCATGCCTGGCATGAAGGGCGGCATGGGCATGCCCGGCGGGAACATGCCGGGAGGGGGCACCCCAGGGGGTGGAAGAGGGGGCATCCCCGGAGGCGGGATGGGGGGCGGGCCCGAGGAGGGTGGACCGGAGGAGGGAGGTCCTGATGTGGCTGCAGAGAACGACAAAAAGAGAGAGCATTTTATTGAGTAGGTTTTTACTAAATGTAGGTAAGCCAGGCTTGATTTCCACAGAGCCTCTCTGCAGAAAATCTTGCTTTGCAAGTTCACATGCAAAGTGAAAAACTACCACAGCACCAGTAACACACAGACCTTGACTGTTTTGGTCGGTAACCCGTTCGCGCACTAAGCAAACATTATCTTCGCTTAGCAAGTTTTTGCAGCTTCATGCAGTTTACCTACCAATGCAGGGAATGACAAGTAACAGGATAAGCAAAACCGAAGGAATGCTATTGCCACAGTTCATTTGACTAGCCTGTGACTTGGCTAAAGACTGGATGATTTAAGATGGACTTGTGATGGACTTACAGGAGACCTCTGAGGAATTCTGACAGATTAACTACAGCCCTTCCACAGGTCAACAAAAGCTGGAACTGCAGAGAGGTAAGAGGGCTACGAAAAGTCTGAAATCCACACTACTGATGGTCAGACGCTACCAAAAAGGACGGCAAGAATATAGTACAATTGATCCTCATTGATAACAGGTCCTTCAGACTTAGCAGATTATTTAAACAGGAACTTTGCTTTACTTGTTATAAGTAGATTCCTTGCTATAAGCAGATTCCTTGTTATAAGCAGATTCCTTGTTATTAGCAGATTCCTTGTTATAAGCAAATTCCTTGTTATAAGCAAATTCCTTGTTATAAGCACATTCCCTGTTATAAGCAAATTCCTTGCTATAAGCAGATTCCTTGCTATAAGCAAATTCCTTGCTATAAGCAGATTCCTTGCTATAAGCAGATTCCTTGTTATAAGCAGATTCCTTGTTATTAGCAGATTCCTTGCTATAAGCAGATTCCTTGTTATAAGCAGATTCCTTGTTATTAGCAGATTCCTTGTTATAAGCAAATTCCTTGTTATAAGCAGATTCCTTGCTATAAGCAGATTCCTCGTTATAAGCAGATTCCTTGTTATAAGCAGATTCTGACATTAACAGTGCTCTTATTAACAAGGTTCGACTGTATCGATGGCCAGTGACTAAAGACTGAGCTAATGCTGCTGATGGGTAAAAACTGTCATGTTGAGGAATAGATTTGAATGCGATAGGGGGAGTCTCAACTCTCTTACCAGGAGGGATGGGTGGTACACCTGGTGGAGGCATCACAGGGGGAGGCAGGTTGTTGGCCTGAGCTGGGGCTGGTGAATCGGCAAACAACTGATGGGGTCGGTCAGCCTGCGAGAGGGGGTTCTGGGCGGCCAAGAGTCTCTCTGTCGTTAGGGCGAAAAAAAAAACAAAAGAGACAGGTAGTAATTGCACGATAAATTAAAAAGCATTTGCATTTCTGGTGTTCATTTCTGATAATTCCTGGGATAATCCGGGTGACTTGTATTGCTGTTTCTGAATTATTTGGTCACACATGGCACTGCACTGTCGCAGTACTTCAACTTCTAAGGTAACCGTTGCCTTGGATTGAAAATCTGACTCTTGTGTTGAATAAGTATGCAGGAAATACATACAGATTCTAAACAGTTCTGGTTTCAGCATGGCTAAGTGTACATTTAGCACTAAACTGATTGGACTAGCTCTCAAGTGCTTGTACATACAGAATGCAGAGCCTGTGCGGGTATGGGTATTATATGAGTTGACCTAAGGTCAGAGGCCATAAGGTCAATGACACACTGGCCAGGGTATTTTTTAAGGTCTCAGCTTCATCTATGTCTTTGGCTTCCGACTCCAATTCGATGAATTTGCTCAACTGAGTTGAGACCATTAATAAGCTCATTGCAGCTTCCTTTTCTGCCACATGAGCCTGTCTTTGTCAAATGCGAGGCAACTTTTTGAAGAAGTTTTGTTTGGCTTCCAGGGTAAACCTTTGAAGCTGATTGTGGCGTGGAACTGGGGCTGAAGCTGTCAACTGAGATGCCAACAAGATCTGGACAAGGCCTCCACTGACCTACGAACCCTGAGCCGAAGCAAGACAGTTTTCCTGGCAACGGGGGCCTCATTCATGGGAACTGCACTTGGCTAGTTCACTAACGAGCACAACGAGTAAGAAATGCATGCATTATAGTCACGTCGCTGCCAACAATATAAGCACTCCCCAACGACATGGCTCTTTTCAACCAAAGAAGGGGCGCTTCTGCTCACGGCCGATTGGTCCACACGAGATGAAGAGACGGCAATGGTTACTGTCGCCTTGCCTCACCTGCTGCAGAGCCGTGCCTCTCTCCCTTGGAGTCCTTCTTGAAGGCGTACGAAATGGTGATCGCTCGGTTGCACAAGTACTGGCTGTTCATGGCCTCGATGGCGGCGTCAGCCGCCTCAAAGCTGGCAAAGTTGATGAAGGCGTAGCCCTTGGAGTTACCCGTGTCGGGGTCCCGCATGATCTGAAGTAGGCAAACAGTGGTTGTGAATGGAAAACCAATTAACTTTCATCACAGTAGCCTGTTCTTAATGCACCTTCACTTGAAGCAATCATTACATCCATGTTTTCATCATGTGGCAAACATCATATAGTGATGCAGAAATTCCTCCGGCTCAATGCACTTCCATACGCAGTTTGTCACTGTGTTGAAAAAATATGCACATAACATGGCCTGATTCTCAATAGTGAAACCAACCTTTGGTGTTTGCAGTATGACCCCAAAGGCGCTGAATGTGTCGTAGAGGAGCTTCTCATCAATCTCGGGATCCAGGTTGCCGATGAAGATGTTGGCGCCAACGTCCAGGTTCTTCTGATGGGCTGACGCCTGAACAAACAATGAAATCCTGACGAATAACAGTTCATCTGAATGTCTTGGTACAAAAGATAATTCACAGCAGTGATGGAGGACTCCAGTCCACTTTTTTGGACTTGGACTGAGCTTGGACTCGGGCCTTCATGGACTCGGTTCGGCTTGGACTAGGATTAAACGGACTCAATTACATGTGCATCACTGATTCACAGTGTTCCATTGGCTTTTTTTTTTTTAATTCAGAAAGGAAGCTGATTCATCCTTGTAGGATCATAAGTACCGACCGCTTTTAACCCTCAAATAAAATCTCAAAAGTAACAATCTGCTAGCTGAGCTTGAAAACAGAAGCTTTAATTTTCCAAAAGACACTATCTTTATGAAAACCAAAACATCTGTGAGCTTATAACTTGTGGTCCTTACTGCAAGGGGTTACAGCGGCCTGTCTGACCCCTTCCATGACCTCTGATCTCACCTTGTTGACCCTGATGGGTTTGCCATACAGCTTGATCATGTTCATGACCTTGATGGCATAGTCTGCATCCTCCTCGCTCATGAACTCCACGAAGCCGTAGCTCTGGTGCTGCTGGGTCACCCGGTCCTTGGGCATGTGGGTGTTCACTGCATTGAGAAATAAAGAAAAAAAGGTCCAAAATGGTACAGAGGTATAGGATCTGGGCTCAAAGTACAAAGGACTGACCACTGAGACCATGACCACACGGAAAACTACAGCATGAACCCTATTTTTGTTTAGTAGTTCTGGGAACCACACATACGTTGTGCGACAGTTATAGTGAGACCCAAAACACTGTGAAATTGACCCATGTACTGAACAAATCATGCCTCGTTTACACAAATACTTTCCTATAGAACTTTCAATGTCTCAACTTGTCCTAGCTCCCACAAAACAGTGTACATGAAAATGATGGGCCCGATTGATCAATCAGTGCAATTATTGATACTTGTGCAAACTATCAACCTTATTCCACAATTTGCCAATAATTCTAGCGTCAGCCAATTGCCTCTTCTTTCTGATTTGCAGCTGTGGAAAACTGTTTCAAAAAGGGAAACAAACTCTGGTATTTCTTACTGGCTCAACCGATAGCACAACGTGATCATGCAATCATGCTGATTTACCAATTGCTCAAACATGGCAAAAACCTAAACAAGGGCGACGTAATAAGTATCCATGGAGGCCTGGGGCTTGTTTGTTTCACACGGATCTGTATCGCGAACAGTGATCCTACACCGGTTCACAGATACCACAAGCCACCTTTATTAGATAGCGTGAACCAGCTTTGGGATCGCCTGACCACCATCCAGATCCGTGTGAAACAGACAGGCCCCTAGGGGGCTCAGGTGACTCACCGACTGGTCCTGCCTGTAAGAACAATTCCCATAGCAACGCCTCAGATACCTTTTCGTCTAGTCCACCAACATACACTGTAGCATCTGAATATTGGGATTAAAATGATAGAAACTTCACTGTTCCTTCCTCGTGGTCTTTCCCTGGGTGTGAATCAACTCAGACCCAGACTATCTTGGGCAATGTTGCACCAGGCACTCAAAGGGCCAACTTGGGTTTATAAAGACAGTAACGTTACACCTATCAATGATTAAGTCTCAGAATTGACATGATTAAGACCCATTTTTGAAGTTCAAAAAATTAATAAAATCCCAAAGTCTGAGAACAAAATCACTGGGCATATGTTTTGGACCAGTTCACAGTCTGTGTCCATCTTCTATTGTGATTCTTAAAAATTTAACCTTTTTTCAAAAATTTCTTAAAACGGTACCAAATTGAGACCGAATGAAACTCATCAACAGATTAAGTCTTTTGTCCGGAAACTGGACTTCAGGAGGACACTAATTTTTGTGAATACACAGAACAGTCATGGTGAAATTGGCTCAAAGAATTAGTATATTAATAACACTCTCAATCTCAAACATTTCCTTCCGCTGAAAAGGGAAGCTAAACGTTGAAAAATACCTTGGTTTCTCTCCTGTGGAGGACCCGCTGCCATCGTTGGCTTTGACAATTTCTGTGCAGTACTGGAAACGTGAAGAACGCGTTGGTTTCAATCTCATTCCCGGGGGCATGCATTCGCGTAGATACTGACGTGCATACGGTACATGTACGTACGTCCTTGCAGGGAGGCAAAAAACATCAACTTTACAAAAACAGATAGCAGTTCATATAGAAGTAAAACTGACACACTTTTAACATTTTTCTTTCTTCTTGCAAGTTCTACCATTTCGGTCTCTCTAATAATATTTAACTTCAAACTTCGTTTGTTGAATCGTAACTTTCGAAAAATCATTCATTTCCATGATTGGCGATTGGGGATCGTACCCTCGTACGACATTAGAACGAGGTTGAATAAGAGCATTTTTTTTTTTTTGGATATTGTTTTGTTTCTACCGCTGTGTGGCGCTATGGTCCCATAGCCTGGTGAAAATATGGAGCACAGCTAGCTAGAGAGCGGCATAAATGATGCTTTTCATAGGAAATTCAAGATTATGGTCGCCAGGCTATTTTCTTTTCAGTTTCACGACAATTAACGACCCCGATATTTTTGCACTCTCCTCCCCCACATTAACCTTTGAAATGGTTGTCAATCTCTAGACCCATTGCAGGTGGGTGGTTTTTTTGGAGGGGGGACAGAGCTCCATTTCCAATTTCACATAAAGTGAACAAGTGTTGTGTGAAAATTCGTACTCAACCAAAAATAGACTTTTTAAAAAATAAGCTGGCCCTTGTCTCATCGAGCACAACAAAACACGGTCACGACGTCTTTGGATGAGATCAGTGAAATGTACTAAAAATAGGTAGGCCTTATGTATAGGTTGAAAGCAAAGTGCATATCATACAGTCCAAGTTTTTCATGGAAGTCTACGCTGATGACGGTCTTAGGCCCATTTACTTCAACCTATTAATAACACGGAAAGAAGTTTCTCATAATGGACTGGTCCATTGTAATCGATAGAAGGTCGGTTGCTCGCCTATTGTCTGCTGGAAATCCCTCCAATCGATTGTTTTCCACAGTTAAGAAGGAAATCGAAGCCATAACTGTGTGTGTACACGCTTGTACATGTACCTCGTAGTACAATTGTAGTGTAGTTTGTTCTTTGGAAGGTTCAAAGTTAGAAATAGCTTCGAACTAATTATTTTAACAGTCATCGCAGCTCATCCAATACAGCGGGGACGCAGAAAGCTGTGCAAAACTGCCAATGAAATTTCTGCCGTTTGCCTCTTCTGGACGCGGTGAGTCTTGTGTCGGCGTAGCCTACTGAAAGAATTGCGGAACTAGTAAATTAAGCCCTTGACTATGGCAACAGGAGGAGGTGGCAGAAACAATCCCCGGCCTTTTCTCGAGGTCCCCGAGGAAGTCCAGGGTGTCAAGAGCATTTCACCGCGTCGCCGGTTCAAGCTGTCCCCAGTCAATCCGGCGTATCGCCCCGACGATGTCGTGTCCTCTCGCTACTCGGTTACCTCCAGTGACGAGGAGCGCGAATCACCCTCTAGAGGTTGGGTAAGTTAATGTGGCCTTTCGTTTAATATTTTAGTACTAATGGTCATAAATGTGACTTGAAGGACTGTACTAACTCACTAATGTGCCTAATTGGTTTTGAGTAAGAGGACGATGCGAGTCTATTAGCAACTTATTACTTCCAACATATCAATATCCATCCCTTTAAGTGGTATCTGGCAAGACAAATTACTTCGAGTAATATTTCGTTCCAGACACACTTTTCTTTGTTGCCTGTAATTCTTCAGTTGGCTGTGTTTTGGATACTCCAAGTCGTATGCAAATCTATTATCACCAGACTATGATCTTTGGTAGATCTCCCCCAAGAAATACAGTGTCAAATTTGAATTTAATTAATCAACACTTGAGACAGAGTTTTCACAGCGTAGGTGAACAAAAATTCCTCTAGGTGAAGTCTGACAGTAAGTTATTTTTAACTTTCCCAGCCACTTGTCAGGGTTGGTTCTAATCCATGCAATTTTGACACACCGAGCTCGAGGACTTAAAAAAAAAGCTTGATGGATTTCCTTCAAAGCATGGATGGTTGGGAGGTAAAGTGCAACACAGTGTTATTTGTCTCTTATTATTATGAGTAGTTATAGCTGTTCGAAATTCTGTCCTGGGGTTAAGAGTAATGACGTCGGTCATGAACACTGAAAAAGCTTTAGCCTGGAGCAAAGTCGGTGTCATAAAGTTCATTTTAATTGCTTCAGCGGCCAGTTGCACTATTATGTAGGGTGTTTACATACCTAGAATTGGGGAGAGCAGTTCCATCGAACTCATTCTGCGTATTTGAAACCCTCAGCAAACTTTGATTGCATTTAAAGCAGGTTGAGCCATTGTGCTCAACAATTCTGATTCTAGTTCTTTCCAGAACCACACCTCTTCCAAAAGATGTAGGTTCTTATACATGGTGGCGCATGCCTACTTTCAGTCACTACCATGCTAAGTTTCAAATAATCTTACCACCATCTCCTTGAAGAGTGCACGGATAATATAGCGCCCTCTCTGGATTTATCTATTGCCAGCTGCCGTTTGCGCGTGGCCCGTCTCGGGGTGGATTGTCGTGGGCTGATCGAATGTGTTGTCGCAACCGCACCGCCAAGGCCTGCTGACAAAATCGATAGGACTATACCTTGCCTGGAAGATATGATTAGAGTTATGTCGTTTGTGTTTGTCTACAAGAAGATACAAGCCTAATCCTTAATACCCTGACGCAGCACAAGAACAAATACAGTAACACTTTTGTTGCGTGGTCAAAATTGGCCGTTTGCGTTTTGTCCTGACCTTAGCAATATTCCAAATGATCGGTCGTTTTATTGTGTGCTGTTCAGTACAGAGCGATCGGATGCTGTATGGGTTACTTTCAAATGAATAAATAATGTGCAATATTCAGCAGGCTGTAAATATTGCTAGATACATGAGCATGAAGGATATCTCCGCATAAATATTTAAGTTTGACTCAACAGGCTTTTTGTACTGTCGGAAGTCAAACGTAAAGCACTTTCTAAACGTCCAAACCACAATGTCTCTTGTTTACTACTTTTTGTACATGAGTTCTACCGAATTGGATTCAACAGGAAAGAGTTATTTTTTCCCAAGTCCGACCCTTCGTTAAAAATTTGGGAAATTTGAAATCTTGTGCTGAGTAGGCCCGCAGTATTTTCCTTTTTTTTCTTTTTCATTCAATGACAGAGCGGAAAGTATACATGAAATCGCTCCATTCAGTAATGGCGCACACCTCTTCCATAAAGTTTTCCTGCCGATTTGAAGTATCGTGCCCTAAACTTTCATCAGAGCACTTACAATATTCGGCGAAATGAAGGCAGAATTCTCATATACTGCGTAGTGTTTCGATGTTTAATATCCAATGAGTATTACGTTAATGACTGAAATGTTACAGCTACCACGCAACGGCTATCAGATTACCGTCGTTTGCTTGAAAAAAAAAAGCGATAACAGTTAGTTTGGCTTTATCAAAATAACAATCGGATTAAAGGAATCGATGCCGTCTTGTGATCGCGGCGTGCAGTCACTTTAAGATTTGGCTATGACCAGACCGATCAATAAGGCGAGTTTTCAGGAAACCGGAGAAAAAGTAAATTCTGTATTAGGTATCACCTGAAACGAAAAAGTGAAATGTCAGTGTGCTTTTCATTTCCGAAAAGGGTCGGTAAAGACGTCAACCAAGGTGGAGAAATAAAAGGCATTTGTTTCCTTTCAGCCTACACCTGGCTAAAAAGTCCTCACAGAAGAAGCGATTTGAAAGAGTTATTCTCGACCAAAATGTGTTAAGAGGAAATACTTGAAAAATGAATGTATAACAAAGTTTAAAGATAGAAATGTTTCTTTAACGTGTCTTAAATGAAGTGGACGTTCCCAAAAGAAAAATGTACTCCCTTATATAGTACACATTTCCAAACAAATGAATAAAAATTAAACAATAAGAAAAACCTAATGATTGAATACCATCATATTTCTGACTTAAGTCGCTACAACGCGAGTGAGTCGAGTTTAAGCCCGGGCTGAAAGATTCTTACCATGAAATTCCCGAAAGCTCTAAAAATTAGAAGTTCCTTTCAATTTTAAGCGATTGACGATGCGTTTGCTTTGCATTATCTTTCGTGTGAATTAGGGACAAACTGTTCACTTCTAGCTTCAGTACGATGACTCGAAAGCTTAGCGGCGCAAACAGAATTTTATTTTCGTTCAGCCTCGCAGCCAATACCGTGCGATTTTATTTTGTTAGCAAGACAAAATCCCGAGAACTATTGGAACACCGACGGACGAAGATGAAAAGCACATATTGACACACGCTGTAACCGCTCTACACATGAGTGCGAACACACAGTTGGTCCACTCTATGCCTTGCTAGAACAACATGCATTTCCAGACCAGACGGCAGACAAAAAAGAAAAAAAAAACACGGGGTTGTGAAGGAAATTCAACCGACAGACGTGACGTTTCTAGGATCCCGTTCATGACGACAATGAAGCGTTTTGCAGATTTTGACTGCAGGCGGTGGAGCGTTGAATGATTCAAAGTCCGCCGCGCTGGATAGCGCGAGACCCTGACGACAATCAGCAAGATATCCCCGTGGATGCTAAACGATGAACCTTCGGAAATTACTCATGTGAACCATGGCACCATAGCAATAGAGACAACAGAGGCTATTTTACAATAACTGATCATTCACTATCCTTATCGCATGCGTACTGAACGGTTCACAGTGCATCTGTATCTTAACAGGTGAGTAATAATACATGTAAATATAAATTATCGGCAATAAATCAGTAAATGTTCTTTACCAGGCAGGGCACTTGCTATGATTGTATTAAGAAGTATGGCGCTTGCTTTGTAAAGTAAACTCATGTTTAGAAACATATCTGAAGTCATAATTTTGTGCCCATAAAATAATGCAAGTGTGAAAATAGCTCTTCATGTGATACAACCTAAAAAAATAAAAAATCATCTGGCCTTTGGACCCACTAATAAGAGTTGAACGTTTTCGACCAACCCCGAAGAATCATTCATTTCTTAAGACTTTCAAGACTGACATAAAATATAAATTTAAAAATATTGCAAAAAGCGGTGATCAAAACATGCGGGGTAAATCAATCAAGTCACCCTAACATCGTTCTTAAATAGGCTAAGGATTTCCCACTAGCTGCTGCTTGACCTGAGATTACATTGCATAAATATGGAAAGAAATGATTCACACAAAAATTACATATTTGAAACTGTGAATGGCTGGTAAAAAACAACATAGATCTTCAGTGCCAGCCGACCGGATTTTATATTTGTTCTATACGTGTTTTTCTCACTCTTTTCAGTAAACATTTTCTGACATATGTTTCACCAAAGTGCCGCTGGCTTGCACACATCAATGAGGGGATTCTGATGACGGGGAAACGATGATCACAGCATCGTTGCATCAAGCATAATTCTGTCCTGACTCATGATTCATGACAACATCTTGCGTGTTAATTAATGCACGTATTTATTCGTGCAACATGCTGCCCTTTAACATGGGCCATAAAACACAAACATTTGACAGACTGGAATTTTCGTAGTTTTCATGTTTGTTTTGTCCTCATTTAGGCCTATTTGGTGACTATTTCATATGATGCCACAAACATTAACCCCACAATTCACTTAGAAAATGAAGAAGTGGAATTATAGTCCGAATTAAGTAAAACTAAAAATTTATTTCGACTGGGCTATATAATCAAACCGCGAAATGACGAGAAGAGTGAAGTGGTGTATCCATGTTGGTTGTGTGACAGTTTCGATGGTAGGCCTAACCTCTCTCATGGGGTCATAATCGAACTGCAGCATCGCCAGACTTATCTACAAGCTCAAAAAGAACGAAAATGATATGAACGAACCCTGTTTATTGTCAGTGTCGATATCCATGTCCATTTCGCACTCTCCTGGTGCTATAGCTGGAATCGGCTTAATGGCCTATATACTGATCGTTTGTCAGCTTGGGACAGGTGGGTGAAGGCAATGGATGTTACGTAGAAAAAGAATGAAAAGAGAACAAAAACCGAAATGAATGTTTGACACCTGTGAAAAATGAGAATGGGAACCACCAAGTACATGCAAATGGGGAGTAGTTTAGTAAAACTAACTCATGCGAAACCCTGCGCGATTACACTTTGCTCATACTGTTGCTCCATAACAACCGCAGAGATATACAATAGTAATGAACTTTGGAATTCGAAATCTTCTTCTGATAAATTGTGTCGTTATTGTAATAGCGAGATTATCTTTGAAATATCAGTTTGGCTGCTATCCATCTTGCATTAAGGCTAAAAGTGGCTATACGCATTCGAAAGCCCCCTTTTTCAGGAGTTAAATTAGAGCCGTGGGTATACCTTGATTAATTTTGTTAAGAAATGATTGACATCTGGCATTCTGGCTCGTTAAGTGGATTATAGTTCATATCCTGTGCAAAACGAAGGGTTTCATCTCTTCGGACAGTTATGACAGAAAGTAAATATCGAAGGCATATTGTTTGCTTTCTACTTCAAAATTCGAAATGTTGTCTGACGGTTTTCAAGTGCCTGGGCCTTTGGGCTGAGTATCATCCATATATTTTTTTTCTTTCGTGCATGCGATGAAAAGCCCTTGGGTTCGCTAGCAACCACTCCACGTCCATTACAGCAAATATTTTCGTCTCTTCGCAGAGGTACGTGGCAATCATATGCGAAGCGATCATTATTTTCTTGTGGGCACACTGAAGTCATGTGATCAATTTGAAAGTGCGACATTATAGCGTTTCTGATGGAAGTGCAGCGGTGTGCGACGCGGGCGGCCAGGGCAGCAGGTTCCGGGTGATGTGCTGCAGTATGTGAACAGCACATTTAAAGGGCACGTGGTGATCTCCGACCATGGATTATTCAAAGCATACTACACAACGAAGCATATTCTTTTACGATGTTCTTACCTACATTGCTCCTTATCGAAAGGATGTCCTTGAGAAGCTGTACTGGAGAAAATTCCACGGAACCAATGAGCGATGGAATATGCAATGAGAGAATATTTCTCGCAGAGAGAAAAAAAGTGGCTGATGTTAGCAGTCAAAAGGGTTGAGCAACACACTTTGGGAACAGGTGGAAAAGCTCAGTAACTCGAAGAGCTATTTGAAAACTTAAGACCTTTAGCCAATTGATACACAATTAGGCCTATACTCTTACTCAGTTTTCAGGTGGAAATATCACAGGCATCCAATAGCCTCACTAAACCTTCGTCTAAATAGTCGTGAAAATTTCCCCTTTATATTAGTTTTCCCAGGAAGTTACGAAAAAGAAAGTCTCAAGATTGGAAGAAGTTATTTACCACTGCAAATTATGATTTCGCAATCCTCCGTTTCGACGGTAGAGTAGAGTGCAGCACTACAGAAAAACAGCAGAAGCTTGAACAATTCTATCGATAGATCAAGCGACCGTACGGAAAACCAAAGAGACCATGAAGAATGTGTAGAAAGAGATTGATCCATAATCCCAGGAAGGATAATTCTTGAGCTAATGTGTGAAAGATACATATTGATGAGAGACATGACGACGCTAAAAATCGAACTGTTTAATTGATTCTTGTCGGTTGTTGAAAATGAAAACATTGGATACCAGTGGATGAATGTAGACTCCGTCGACAAAAGACTTTGCCATGCATGTCATGTTCGCGAGGGGACTAAAAGGAGAGTCAGCGCCGGCCGTCCACTTGTCCAAACTGTTGCAGAACCTGCATATTCAATATACACGTGATTTACCTGTACTTGCGAGAGCAAGCAGATTGCTTCGAGACAAAAGCTCGTATTCTTTACAGAAAATTTCAATATATACGAAGTCACTTGACAAATACAACGCAGTATGACTGACCCTGGTTGGAAAGATAATATACATACTTTGTATTGTTCGTAAGTGTATTGTTTATCGTGAAGCTTCTTTTATTGAATCTAATGTTGCTACTTTTGTCTTGTATTTTTAGTTTTTGTATGTTTTTTTCCCTTCTCAGCGCTCAGAGGGGGAGTATGATGATTACAGAGGGCCCCTATCGGACCTTCGAGCTGGACTAGAAGACGACTACCGCCGCCTAGAGGAGCTAGACGTACCCGCCTCCCTCCCACGGTACAATGTGGACACCATGATACGCTACGAGCCCCTGGCTCCGCCTAAGCCCGCGCCTCACGAAGGCCGCTTCGCCACCAAAGTGGTTACCTTCTACCGGAACGGGGACAAGCATTTCAAGGGGGTGACCCTGCCGGTCAACCAGCGCAACTTCCGGCTGTGGGACACTCTCCTGAAGTACCTGGGCGAGAAGATACACCTGCCGTACGGCGTGCGGTACGTCTACAGCCTCGCCGGGGAGCAAATCACCAGCGTCGCCGAGCTGGTGGACGGTCGGGCGTACGTCTGCGCCAGCGGTCAGTTCGCCAAGAACGTGCCGTACGGGAGGGTCCAGCACGCTGACAGGCCCTGGCTGAACCGTAAACCCAGCGGGGGTGTGCGCGGCTCGGACAGGGAGCTATACCAGAACGAACCTTCAAGGCGCTGGCACGAGGCGATGGATCAGATTTCGAACGAGCGCGAGCCCGTGCCGGCACTGGCGAACTATGTGCCGCACAATCCCAATGTCAACTCCATCCTGGCTATCGAGTCGTCGTACGTTGGGTACGCTAAGCCCAAGATGGTACTGATTATCAGCAACACCCATAGAGCAAGCCGAGCTTCCATTCTCCTCAACCCAAGAACAACGCAGAGCTTCGAGCAGGTGCTCCGAGACATGACGCCGGCGATCGTGATGAGCAGCCCGCCTGTCAAACAGCTCTACACGTGGAGGACAGAGGAGCCGGTAAGTTTTGTTAATCTCTAAACCCATGTTTTTGGCACCAAACAGCTAAAGTGAAGATGAAGAATACAATGAAGGGATGACGCAAAAAATCCTTTGCATAATGTTGTAATAATCAAAAAGATTATGAGCGTGTGATTACAGTTCGACACGTAAAAAATGAAATGTCGTGTCTTCACTCCTAATTACTGTTGTTTCGCCACGAGATCAACCATTTTGATCATATAATATGTGTCTAATTTCGACTCATACGTATCAACTAATACATATCGACTCATGCATTTCGACTCATACATGTTGACTCATACATATCGAGTAGTTAAGAAAAACGAGTAATATCAAGATGAAGAAACATTGAATATGTCACTTGATAGCTCTGTGAGTGCTAGACTGTCGTTTTTGAAACCTACTATATACCGTGTAGTTGAGCACACACCCTTCCGCACGGCTCCAGCCATTGAAGCTATCCCGGCTTCTTCTACTGCCCTTTGAAAAAACAATAGGCTGATAATTGTATTTTATAATTTCAGTCCCATTTAAAAAGACAAAGAAGTATTTCTCGTCACTGCCGTTTATGTGAATTAAGCCATGAAATCGGAGCCTTTGGTAACGTTATGCCACAAGGATGTGGAGGCTATGGCAAATATAATTATTGAAACCTGTGCTTCTTGATGGCCTTGTTGAGGCCATGTGCGTCATATTCGCAGTTTCTCTTGATTAGCTCCTTCATAAACGATGTGATTGCGCGCAGAACTGAATCCAAAATGTTAATAATGTGCTGTGATATCGATTGTTGCCGTGCAGTCGGTGTGTTGTGGGGAGCTCCTCAAGCCCTTTGTGCTCAGACAGCTGGGCGGGAGAGTCAACACAGTGTCTTCCATTGCAATGAGAGGTGTTACAAAATTGGGTTGTTTCGTACGCAGACGCGATTCCCACATGTTCACATGCAGATGCATTTCATTGATATCGCGAAAAATTTCTTTGATGGTCAAGTATTTATCAAACCCAAATTTAGTTTTCTTTCTTGGCCGCTGGATAACATCAATCCAGGCATGTGTGTTAAGGTTAATCCCAGAAGAGCCGGGTTTCTTTGGACCATCTCGCAACCGTGGGCGGATTCCCATGATTCCTGGATTCCCTTTTCCAATTTTAAAAATTTGGTATGCATATCAAAACACTCATTAGTACAAATGTGAAATTTCAACTTCAACGTAATTATGGTTTGGTTGTTACAGTCATTCGGTCTCTATGTCCATTAAGCACGTCAGGGAAAACAGGTGTACATTTTTGGCAGACCTATCTCGGAATAATGGGCATTCCGATTTTTACGAAAAAAACAACAAACCGAACTCTTGTAGGCTCGATGAGAGAAAAAAAACAATGCACCACGATGATATCGGGAAAATGTCGAGGGATGGGTGGATTGATTCCACTCCAGGCTCTATAAGGGTGACACTATAAGATGGTCTCCACATTGTGGTGTGCGATATGACCAAGTGAGTTTGTACGAGAGCGGCTACATTGGTTCAAGTTCCCGAGGCTTCCAATCAGTACAATGACATCTCAAGCAGTCAGGTGAAGCCAAATCGGTTTGTAAAGATAACATTTGAAGGATTTTGGCCGTGAATATTTTCACATCAGTCGTCTTCTTTCAATGTACATTTTGCAGTGCCATTCTTATATGTTTTATGCATTATTTTCGAGCTGTAATATTTCGATCTTTCTTTCCACTGGCAGGTTCTGAGTTTCACACAGCTCTTTCGCGACTTCAAGGACCACGACAAATTCATCGCCTGCGGGCTCGAGCCGCTCAAGCGGACCATCAACTTCAGCGATTCCAGCACCGAGGCCGACTACGCGGACGGCAGAGGGCGCTTCAAGGGGTCCCTCAGCGACGGGGCAGTCCGGGAACGGGACGGGAGGTACGCCACGATGCACAAGCGGAAGATGAATCGGAGAGCCAAGGAGAAAAGGAACGGCATGGCGAGCAGCATGGAGGGTAAGGTCCTATCTCTTTCTGCAAAAAAGAATGGTAAACCTGCTGTTCTGGTTACTTCACCAATGTCTTGGATTGTTTCCTTCAGTAACTTGACATTCTCAGATATAGAGCAAAACTGTCTATTGTTTTCGCTGTAGTGTACAACGCAGATGAATCCAATAGTCCACGGTCATCTCTTGATGACAGTCCGCGGTTACCACCCACGAAACCCCGCCGGGCCTTCGGCAGCAGCGACGGGTCTGACCCACCTGTCGACCGCCGCAAGCCTTACCGCCAAGCCGCTCAGAGTCACCCTCGAAGGCAAGAAGAGGTGCCAATGGAGGTGGTCGAGCCACCTGGCAAGGGGTACAATCTGAGACCGCGAAAGCATGTCGTGCGGCACCAGGAAATGGAGGTCGATGCTGATGATGAACAGCAGGACAGCAGGGCGACGGACGGCCCGGGCCCTGGCGCCAGAGAACGGGGAAGGAAGAGGGGCATAGGCGCGCCAGCCACGGTAGAAATCCACGGGCAACTCAGACACTTCTTACCGCCGTCCGTCGTGGACCCTAGGAGCACCACGCGCTTGGGTTTGGCACTAAACAAACGCCTCAAACTGGATTGGGTGTATCCTTTGCAAACAGAAAACAGGACACAAAAAGTGAAGACTAGTCAGATTTCAAACTTGCCCCTTGAAAGCTGTACCTAAAGATTCACTCAAACAAAACTCCTTTCTTCACTGCTGGGATACACTGTAATATGTTGGTGGCCTTTCAAACACTATTGACAGTATAATCAGAGACGAACGTCAACTTCTTCCTTAACCAAATTCCAGTTACGGATATCGTGGTTTCGACCACCGGAATAACCTCTTCGTCCTCCCGTCCGGCGAGCTGCTCTACTACGTAGGGGCAGTAGGCGTGCTGTACGACAAAGACGCGGACAGACAGCGGCATTATACGGGTCATAACGAGGACATACAGAGGTAACCTAGTGTTTGTCAAACGAAATATTTATGTCAGTTTTGCAAGTGTGTTTAATACAGTTGGTATATGCTGCTTCTGAAATGTCTTCCTTTACAAAGATACAAGCGTTCGTTGTATTTCAGTATTATAGGACAGGCAATAAAGCAGGAATTTTGACAAAGTAGATGCATTTTAACTGAGGAACTAAACGACGAATTTCGGGTCTATAAACTTTCCTGAATGTAATGGTTGTTGAAGACTCCTTTGGGACCCTACGTTTGGTTTTTCAGCATGGCTGTTCACCCAAACGGCACTCACGTCGCAACAGGGCAACTCGCCGGTCAGTTACCGGAACCAACGGTAAGCACTACACCCAAGATCATCATGTTTCTGCAAAAATGGTAATCTCAAACCTTTTGAAAACCAATTTGCTACTCACGGAAACTTTTCAACTGGGACACATGACGTCAGCACAACCAAGCGTTCTTAGGTTTTTTACGAGGGCTTTCTTCAGACTCATTTAACTGGTTCATCTCTGGAGTAAGCAGTTCGTCGATGATTGAAGCAGTTCATTGAATTGTATTTTTAAAAATTACATAATTTATATCTATTCTTTTCATTTTAGCCACGAGATATTGCCATGTGCCATTCGGTAAGTCGCACAGTTGTCATCGCCTATGTACTTTCTGCTATTTCCAATTGGTTTCACATGAACTACAGGTAACTTAGATATCTTAGAATAATAATGTTCTATTGTATTCAACTTGACGTTCTTATTGAATCATACTCTCCGTTAAAATTTAGGTAGAGTTTCATTAGAGAATTATGTTTTTCATAAAACTGTAATTAAAAAGCCAGCATGCCAACGCTGGACTTGTACTTGACACTTGTAGACTCAAAATAAAGAATATTTTCTGAGCATTTTCCGGGCCGTCTGTTATAAAACAGGCCCACATTCGCGTCTGGGAGGTAGAGACACTCCACACGCACGCCATCTTGGGACTGGAATTCTTCGATGCCGGAATTGCTTGCCTCAGCTTCTCGAACGAGGTAATTAAAGTCCATGTGTTCCTTTACACTGGAAATATCATTGTTTTTTTGAAACAAGATATGGGACGGAGAGAACCCCTTCCTTTTGTGTTGGTCATTGTTTCACCGGAGTATCAGGAATTCTTTTCAGACATCTGGGGGATGTGTTGAGAAACATGTAGGAGGGGGTATCCCTCCGTTCCATGTCTTGCCGGGTGTAGTCTTTACCAGCTGCCAAAGTAGCTAAGCCAGTTCAGCTTGAACTACATGCAGGGCACATAGCTCTCTTGGTATTAACCACGCGCAGATACAATGCAGTTAATAAGTAATTGACATGTGGCTGGTATCCTGCTTCTAATAAGTAACCCCTCTCTGTGGATACCAAAACTGTATTTTAGTAGCTCTGTGAAATTAGACTTTTAATCAAAGTAACACGGTATTTTCCAATTAGATTTCTGCATTTGAAGTGATCGCAAGAAACCAAGCAAGAATGAAGCCGGCCCTTAGGAAAATAGGCCCACGGCGAACTGAATTAAACAAGACGAGAAAATTGAAAATGGCTAATCAGAACATCATGTTAACATGCATTAGCTTACGTAAGACAACTTGCTAACAAAATCAACAAGTAAAGTGAGTCTTTCAATAACACTACTCTTGTTTTCTACCGTTCCGTAGAATAACGGTGAATGGTTACTAGCGGTCGAACAGGGCACGGATCACACGCTCAGCGTGTGGGAATGGAACAACGATTCGCTACTTGCCAAATCGAAAGAATACACCCTCCACGATGCTGCCTCTGCACAGGTAGAAAAATGTACCAGACTATGGTTCATCTTCCCCGTTTTATTCTGTGCATCATATGAATGAAGCTTGGAAGTGTGAAATTCATAATGTGGGCCTGTGACATACTCAAAACTTAGTTACAGACGAAATGGTCCTTATCTACCTCTTTTAAGCACAAGATGGTTGTTCCAACTTTCCACCGGAAATATTAGAATTTAGGAAGCGGAAAACATCAAAAGGGCAAAACATTAGCAGATCACAAAACCATTCGAGCACAGCACGGGAATTGGCTAAATCGTATCCATTGCCGGTTGATGTTGATTTCAGATGGCTGGAACGGATGCGGTAGTGGTAGGCACGTTCCATCCCTTCGACGACAGCATCATCGTCACTGCCGGGAGACAGCACCTGTTCTTCTGGAGCCTTGTCCACCGGAAGATTGTCCGTGACAAGAAGAGCGGCAACTTTGATGTGAGCTTTGGAATTGATTCACTTCTACACAATTTGCATTTATCTTTTTGCTTGGTAGTTATCATTTGGAATACGGTTTTTCCACTTCTTTCTCATTCCGTAATGATTGCATTCATTTTGGGAGTCAGGTTGGCGTAGTGGTTCTTTTTCTCGCCTTCCACCTCTGTGGTCCCCTGTTCGATTCCCTGCTCGGTCCACATGTGGATTGGGTTTTCAGTCCCTACCTGATTCCGTGGGTTTTACCCTGAATATTCCTTTGGGATTTTCCTCCCGGACCTCTGAAACTGTAAAACTTCTCATTGTCACATATCTACATGTTTCTTCCAGGCTTGCGAGCTTACAGTGCACAGGATGCTCAGTTGAGGAATCCTGAGTGTCATTACCATAAATCAAATAATAAATAAATAATAAAATAATTTAAACAACAAATAAAATATTAAAGCCGAATCCTGAAAACATGCAATAACGGTATATTGGAAAAAGCCTTGCAGAAGTTCCACTTTATATGGTTTCCTGAAAAGCAGGACAAGTAACACGTGTTGCTTGTGCACTCAACGTTTCTGGCGGCAGTGGGGAGTTTGGAAGGCCACTTTAGGGGCCTTGCATTTTCTCATAATTATGGTTTATTAAGACATACTTTTTTCTGAGGTTGTTTCTGATATGATAGAATGTTTTTAAAATGTTTATATTTTATACGGCAGAGTCAGCGGCCGTCCTACGTGACTTGCTTAGAATTCTCCCACACGGGTGACGTGATAACCGGTGACTCGTCCGGTAACATCACCATCTGGGAAAAAGGTAAGACATTTCTAATCCTCGAAACAGATTACTGGCAAGTTGTGTGACGATCTTCAAGAAACTTTCACAACTTTGACAAATCACCCTACTGTAATCTCCTTTCTAGACAACGAAAACGTGTTCCGTTCCCGGCACTGCATACAGCATGCGCACGAGCGCAGCGTTTTCGCACTGTGCATGCTCGAGGACGGTACCTTGCTGTCTGGAGGTGGACTGGACAGGAGGCTACAGGCCTGGGACTCGCTGCAAGGCTACTCATCGGCCAACATCGAAAGACTTGTGAGTTGGGACTTTTCATCCTTCGACCTTTTCGGACACTAGACAAAGGAAACATGAAGCTCCTGGCATTTTCTGGTTGTCTGTAAAGGAATGATAATGATTTTGGTCTACTTCCTTATGGCACAAATCCTACGTAAAAACCCCCTTACATGAGGGTGCAAAATTATAACCCCTGACTGCCTTATTACGTGTTTTATCCCCCTTTCGTCAGTTCACGGAGAGCGCTGGCGGTATTCGAGCCATCGTGCCCCTCAATCCAGGCAGTCCAGACGGTCGCATCATCCTCGGAACCACCCACAACCACATCATGGAAGGGTCGCTGCAAACTAAATTCGTCTACGTATTACAGGTAGACACAAAGAGCGGGTGTCGTACTCGATAGATCGAAATTTGTGCACCTCTTTTAACGAGTTACTGCCGAAGCGCGAACAATGTCACGCGCTTGGATCCCTCTTTAGGCTCCTTACTGTAACCATTCTGACATGCAGATGAATTCTTATATTCTGGTTAAAACAAATAAACTGTAAGAAAAATTACAAATGATTTACAACAAATTACCGTTAGAAACCCAGGTTTATACAGCTTTGTGATACCCCGGAACAAGTTCAGGGCATGATGTTGTTTTAATTTTAGATTTTTTTCCCTGCGTGACTTGTGTTATAATACTGTATGCTCAGTGTTTGAGCCCCCGAAGGCTTGTAAAAAACACATGCGTACTCGGGTGGGACTCGAACCCTCGACCTCCTGCTTACTAGTGCAGACGTCTTCACCACTCGACCACCGAGCTTGCCGGTGTCGGCTAGCTGGTCCGAGTCAGACGTAGCAGCGGGTACCGCGAACAACTATTTTAGATATGATGTTGTTTTTTAAACTTGTTTGAGCAGGCTTTCTATTCACAGAATCCACGAGATTTTTGTTCTCCTAAAAATCTGTCCCTATCTTTGGTACTGCAGAGTCATTGTCAAGAGTTATGGGCAGTGGCGGGGCATCCAAACGAGCAGGCCTTCGCCACGGCAGGCTACGATAAGTATGTCATGCTATGGCAAGCCGACTCGCACAAATTGCTCTGGAAGTCAGAAGTTGAGGTGAGTAACAACATCCGGGATATATGCGTTCGACAAGATGTCTCGGCAGACCCAACGTTGGACAGAGTTACTTTATAAAGAAGGCACAGTAGACAATATCCACTCTTCGGATACAATCATTCAAGCCATTTTCTAAATTATACATGTAGGCCTCAATGTTGCGTGAGTGGAGGCTCTAGACAGCGTCTGTGTTTAAATAATTTTCTTTCTCTCCTTCATACACGTGTTAAACTACGTAAGATCTGTTACCTAATTCAAAGACTAGCCTTCAGCAATCGCGTATTTTTTTCTATGCACTTACAAACAGAAACCGTGCGTGTCATGCGCCTTCAATTCCTCCGCCTCGGTGCTTGCCGTGGGCACCACGGTGGGTCGCTTCACAGTGCTGAATGCCTATGATGGTATGCACATCACGTCGGTGCAGGCCGGCAGTGGGCAGTTGAACGCGGTCCAGTATTCGCCTGGTGAGTTCATGGACGAGGGTGACCCTGAAGTTGACAAGAGAATGAAATACTTTTAGATGAGACAAGATTTAAACTGGTTCAGAAAGAGTACAGAAGACGCTGCGGATATTCATTAAAAAATATACATATAGTCCAATTGCACTTGGCCCTGTGTTGTAAGATTAAAACCTTGTAAAATAATTCCGCATTACCAATATCACAAACATAGTAGCATTAATGAAGAAAAAGAGAAAAATGAAATGCTGTGGTTTACAGAATACAGCTCTTTCCAAGCTATAAAATTATACTACATCTTCGCAGACTTTAGTTTACAACAGTGAAATAATTAGACGCCTTTGTGTAAGGAACTCTTTTGGCTGAATATGATTGGTTGCAAGTTTAACCATGGAACTCATGACAAAAGAGGGCGTGCTTCTGAACCTTTATTTTTCCATTATCGTTTTGGCAGATGGTGGCCTGCTGGTGCTTGGGTCACACGACCACAAGATCTACCTATACACGGTCCTGGATGACGGACAAGTTTACCGCAAAGCTGGGTTTCTCCAGGTAAAAACGCTGAACTGAAAAACCAAAACTCAAACTACACCATCCAGTTAGTCTTCGGCAGTGTTTCCTTTACACCCATCTGAGTTACTTTTTTTGTATATGCGAATCAGTCACCTGACAGATAAGGTCTTCTATAATGTGTTGTATGAAACACGATTACCAGCTGATGACTGTTTGGCTGCAACAGTCATAGAAATTTGTTGTATGAAACTCTACTTTTCATCATGCTTATCTGAAGATGTGTAGAGCTCAACAAATCCAAATTCCATAGAATGAAAAACAGCTTTCCTTGTTAATAACTGTCATGGGCGATTAAACGCCTTTCTGAACATTTTCTTGCTATCAATTTGTGAACATATTTCAGTGCTAAACATTAAGAGTTTTTAATAGATAGCGTTTAGACAGTGAAGATGTTTAGAAATGGGACACATGCAGGTAAACGCGTCTGCAAAGTGATTGGCGTATTTACAGAACCAAGGTTTTAGAGTGTTCCCTGTGTTAAATTTTCCCGCCTTCAGGGTCACGCCAACTACGTGACGCAGCTCGATTGGTCAGTAGACGGCAGCTACCTGCAGAGTGTGTCAGGGAACTACGATCTTAGATTCTGTGAGTTCCTTTCTTGCCAAATGTTAAAAGTCCGTCTGCAGTTGATTGGAAAAGATAACAACACTTTATTGGTGTCATCGATCGTTGTTCATTAACAATTTCATCGTCGGCCTATATATCACCACCGGGTAAACATCTGTTTGGGTCAGGAGAAAAGGAAAGGGAAGGAAGTTTTATTTTCATTTAGAATTTTATAGGGTCAGGAAATGGCATCTGAATACAGAGATGCAGATGGCATTGGAGATTTAAGTGACCGCGCGCAAATTTTACTTTATTTGCCAAGCCAGGCAGTTAATCAACGAACATGATTTAGGCCACACGGGACTTTCGTCTGAACAGCTATTTTTCTTCAATTGACTCGGCTGTCTCCACGTATTTTTGCTCGCAGGGGATGTCACCCAGATGAGGAAGGAAAAGGCAGAGGCCGTCAGGGATGTGGTCTGGCAGACACAAACATGCGCGCTGGGATATCCTGTTTACGGTGAGTGGCATATTGCGCATCTACAAACACTGGCGACTGATGCTTTGGTGGTTTCAAAATGGGGAACTTTGAGACGTTAATGGCACTGGCAGCAGATATACCGGTGCTTTTTCGCGGTACTGCGCGTGTTCAGAACTTTACAAGCATGCTCGGAACAACGCGCGCATGCTCAGAACTAGTAATAGGAACTGGTATCATTATGTTCGCCCCCGAGCGTTCCAAATTTTCCCATTACCTAACTAATCTTTTGTCGAAGCCACAGTCAGAAACAGTGGTTTGTAATCGTAAAAATCAGCCAACTCTTAAAAAATCAAGGAAGTGCTTTTTTTAACATTTGGGATTGAAACTTAAGAGAAGTGCACAAAAGCCGAAGGTGAATATTTCTGGCTTACGATGCAGTTGTTTAATGCGACGTAATAGAAGACCCTTACTATCTTTATTGGTTGACCTTGAGTACCTGATTAGAGGGGATTGCTTTTCTGCGATAATTAAAAGCAGGTGAGGGTTTCAATCGATTTAATGACGCAGTGGAATTCCTTGGCTGTCTCCGGCCGACTTATTAAATTGACAGCTTAAAGAGAGGGTGAACTTTAAATTAATAAATGAAAAAAGTCTCTACGGTATCGGTAATAATACTCAACAAAAGAAAAGAGGCGTGTAGTTCGGGAAATTTAAGAAAAATACATGTAGTACAATGCATGTTTTGTGAATGAAAAATCAAGTTTATAATGAAGCGTGCATTAGTTAAATACCTTTGGTGGCAGATTCCAAGGTAAACATCTTGCATTGTGGGGATTTAATTTAGTGATGAGAAACAGCCTACTGTAATCGAAATGTGAAGCTCTTCTGACCCTTACAATTTCAATAGCGGCGCATAGTGCTTAAGGATTCTACTTTTGGTCCACCATTCAGCACATCCTGCTGTTGTACGAAAGTCATGACTCGGCTGGAAATACACATTGCCCTATGGAAGCCACTTGCTGGTGGCTGGAGCCATTCTCCATAGACCTGTGTTGCACCAAGCCGTAGCCGTTTAATGAGGAAACAAACATATATTCTGTACATGAATGGTGGAAAAAAATTGTGAGACAAATGCTGGACGAACTGTGTAATGATTGAGCCAAGACTATCGTGTCAAAGGTTATGGATATGGCAACGATTTACGCACGTCTTGAGACGGTAACCAATTGTCGTTCTCGTTAAAGGGATATGGCCGGCAAGGGAGAAGGATGTTGACGTTAACTCAGTGGACCGTTCGCGAACCGGCAGCCTACTCGCCACAGGAGACAGTCTTGGCTGGCTGTCCCTGTACAGATATCCCTGCACGTCAACTAAAGTGAGTAATAATGGGAAATAAGAGGAGTCTTTCAATTGATATTCACGTCTGTATTACGCTTAATCAAGGCCACCCTAAGCAACAGCCTTCAGGGTCCATTACAACAATTGGAAACTTGTTACGATTTGTTCCACATTAGGGCCTTATCTTCTTAGCAAAAGTTCATACACTCGTGAAACTTGGAAAAAAAATTGGAGGGGAAAAAGTCGTTAAACGTTTCCTTGTCTTTGTCTCAAATGCATGACAGGCCGTGTCGCATGACGTCAAGAGCCACAGTGCTCACGTGACCGCTGTCAGGTTTCTTGCCAACGACAGCTACCTCGTGTCGGCCGGCGGAGCTGACGCAGCGCTCATGCAGTGGTCCATCGTTGGCACGGGCAACCAGTGGGCGCGGGAGGGCGCTCTTAGCTAATTTCTGGGGTTGTCCATTGGTTATCTCTTCGTCAGGCTTCATGACGTAAGGAGCTAATGATAGCTACGACCCCAACATTAAGTAATCTGAGTCAACGGTCAAAAACACGGCACTCCGTGGATTTTTTTATGGTGAAAATTGAGGTGGCATCAAAAACGTGAGCCTAGAGCTACATTTGAAATGCGTTACATACCCTGTTATTGATTTTCTAATTGAAAGACACCACAAGAATGTTACTGAAGTGGTTCTTTGCAACATCTCACATTAGGGGTATAGTTGGTCTGTCCCATTAATGCTTTTGTCAGCTGATTGAAAGAAATTACACGTATACATGACTTACACACAGTGATTCTGCAGATGGTAGAGTTTTTTTTAATATCACTGCTGATATAGCCGTAGCATAGCAGCAGAGAGGAGATCTAAAGAACATGCTTCTGTGGTTGAACTAAGGAAAGTTAGAAAAAAATAAGAGCACTGAAGGCATAATTATGCGCCGCTGAAAGGTTGCGGATTATCGCTTTTTTGTGTGAATGTTTTGTTGTGCGCACCATATTTATCACGTCATAGCTACATCCATGATGCAGATAAGATGGTGGGCAATTCTGTCGTTTTTATTTTTTTTTCATCATGCATGAAGTTTTTCGTGGTATCCCACAAAAGGACTCCGAAATCTGACTAACAATGCACCTTTATATCAGATGCTTGAATGACGACCTAACATTGTAAACAGCGCCCTCAGTCAAGGCAATTTTTTTAACGGACGATTGCATCGGGTCTGTCAAAAATGGATAGCGCCCTCTACGTTTTCCAGTTAACAGGCCTCGTCAGGGTTTGACTTCATGTCAGTCGGTGGCCTCGAAATTGGTCCACCAAACACGAAGGCATTTGCCAGTAAAAATCTGTCCACCTCTCATCGATAACTGTGATACAGAATACTTCTTGTACAAATGTCGTTTTGTAGGAAGGCATTTGCATATCGTGTAAAATGCGTTGCGTATACATCACAATTATTGTGGTAGTTATTTATTTTAGAGCGTATTCTATTTTTGCAAAGTTGAAAGATTTAAAAGTTGAAATACCGAATTATTTCTTGTCTTAATTGGTGTACCGAAGGATTCAAACAATTATTTAAAAAACCGTTATATAGAAAATGTGCAATAATAAAACAACATAGTAATACACCGGAATCAGAGATCGGTGTCTCTTGTGTAAAATAACACCAACATTCTAATACGGACGTTTACTTTAGCTGTTTTCGATTGCCCTTAAAGGGAAAGCCTCATTCCAATGGAGTCGACACTGTGGGATAGTGGAATTGGCGACCGTTTGTGATACGTAATACTTGGGTATGGAGGATTTATGTGGGACATGGGTCATTGGACAAGGGTGCAAATATTCGTTATGATACAACGTGACGGACAGCTTTCAACTCGACCATACCAGGGTGTACGTAGGAGCGCGGGCGCGGGCCACTAGTGCAGTCACGTGCCCGCAGGCAGGCAAATTTGGCTTGATTGACGAAGCCGGAGTTAATCGGATTGCCCACGTCAGGCAGGAAAGAGGCGGATTACGGGCAAAGCTATCGGCGGGAGGGAAGTAACTTCTTGCCCCGGCGACTAAAGCCGACGCCCCGCTGGGCCTTTCCCGCATGTTGACATTTTGAATTGGGCTCAAACTTTCTGCGGGACTGATGGAGATTGGGCTTAGTTTCTACAGAAAGTGCAGCACAGTGTAGTGGTGACAAATACGACAACAATCCTGACGTAGCATGTCCTGATTGGCCGTAGCTTTCATGAACGTTGGAGTTTATCCAATGAAATGTTTATTAAAGCTACGGGATGCCGTATGCGAGTTGATCGCTATGCACGTGGCATCCTTGCTTCATGCACAGGCGTTTCAAGCAGGTGGTAACCACAAGTGAAGGGTAGCACGTGACCAACACCCATTCCTTTGGAGGTCGTGACCGTACCCACTCCCCTTTCTATTTTATACAAGAAAATGAAGAAAAAGCGTGGTGTTTTTTGCATTCATACCTGTGAAACATCTCCTGAGATTTTAAAACCCGGACTCCGGAATTTTTAGTGTTGTTTAGTCCCTTCACAACTGCTGCGAAAAACTGTCCAACTTTAAGAAAGGTTTCGGAACCGACAAAGAAATCTCCTAAACATTTCAATACCCCAAATTAAAAAGATGTTTAGAAATTGTCAAATAAAAATGAAATAAGCCTAAACGTGTACTAAAGTTGAACTCTGGCCCTAAAAAAGTCTTGCGGTGCACGTGTAGACACCTCCTTCTTGTCCGACATTTGTTATTCTTTGAGTGACTGTGAGTTGAACATGCCTTAAATACGACGGTTGCCACAAAACGTTCCGATCACAGAAGGGGTAATAGTTTACTCTGAACCGTGTACAACAGCATCCGAGGCCTTTTACGCCACGCCCAACCACTTGGTCAGCCGAGCTCGCTGGGCGGCTGCAGGTTGTAGGTACTCTCCGCGCTCCCTTCCTCAACTTAAAGGAACAGTCGTCGAGTAAGAAGTGATCCCGATCTTCTTCTCGTTCATTTATGCACTATATGATACCATAACCAAAGCACAGGCCACCGAACCAACTTCCTTTACCTCACAGAAAGAAATTTTGTTCAGCATACTGCCGCAAAGCCGGGTGGCTGACCACCGACACTTGTCAGAATTAGACCGGGCCATTTCGATCTTGATTCGTCCACGCACGCATACCTTCACAAATCCCGGAACAAAAAATTTCCACTCCACAAGGCTTTCCATCAAGGATAAAAAAAGGAGAAGCAAATTGATTCCGAAATCCACTGGGGAGCCAATAATCCCTCGCGCTCTAACTTTCCCCTTTTCACCATTGAAAATTAGTTCCCCTTCACTCAATGAAAAAAAATCCCCGCTTGGCCTCTCATAATTACCCGGTAACTTTTAACCGTTGCCCGCAAATCACGGACATCTTTAGTCAGCGGATTCGTGTCTTGGGCTGATTGGCTCCGGTGAGGTATTTATGTTTTGGGCTGCGATTTTCCCCCTACGTCTTTCAAAGATAAATCTCTTTCACCACGTGAAGATCTGTCTTTGTACCCATAATGCCAAGGGGAAGTGACGTTCGATTGGGCTTGGTATCTAAGTGGCCTCACGGAATTCATTTGAAATGAGTGGCAGATCAAAATCTGGCGGCGTCATTGCTGTTAAAGTTGCGACATGAGTGTCTCAATTGTTGGACCCAAAATGGTGGATTGTGCGTCACTGTACATGTACGTGGACAATCAGCACCGAATTGCTGCATGTTGCACTGTACACATAATGAAAAGCCATTTTGTTTCCAAAGTCTGAAGTTGGCCCAATATTCCCTCCGTACACAGCCCTGATCAGAGCGGGTGTGGGTGTGTAAATGTTATTGAGTGGTAAACTCACAGTAGGAATCTTGGTTGTTTCAAGAGATGCCTTCCAGTACGCCGCCAGCTGCCTCGAGCACCGTGCCATACCGATATCCGCGAGGTCACAGATGGGCCTGCTCACCTCACGTCCGACGAACCGCACCGGCTGGTGATCACTGGTGACGGTTGTTCCCTGTGGCAACACATAAGAGATAATTACGTTATATTTGGCGCATTTCAAATAAACTTAAGGTCAGGTGCATCGGAATTCGAATACTGGCGTGGCCACTTAAGTAAATGCCTCCCCAGAGGTGCGGGTCATTAAAGGGGATTTTTTTCCTGCGAGAGCATGTAAAATTGCACTCAATATCTTGAGCCACCTTTTTGCGTGGGATCCGTGCGAGAGGTATCATAGATAAATGAAGTCCATCATAATTCAAAGTTTATCTTATTTGCTTGAGCACAGCCTCGGGAAGTGTGAGGATGTAACGTGAGATGAAGCTGCGATATTGTTTCCCAGGATTACCGTCACCAGTCGTAGTCCCCCCCCCCGTTTTAACAGAAATGATCGAAGCTGTCATTGTTTCAAGCAAGGAGATGGCCTCTCGCCCCAAACCATGTAGCCTAGATCATGGAGGAAGGAATCCTCCATGACTAGATTACCGAAGGAGATCTTTGATTGGCCCGGTCGACAGCAAGGACATTCTTGGTGACCGACGGATTAAGGCTTAATTACACCGCCGGCTCAGTAAGCCGCCGACCTGGCGATGATCGATGATGGTGCGAAAATCCCTCAGTTTCTTTGACCGACTGGACAAAAAAGATGGGTGAATTGATTGAACGAGACTCGACGATGAACGAAGGAAATCACCGGCTTTATCAGATTTTAAAGCGGCGCCGAGTTAAAATATGGACACGTTCCAGTCTTGAGTCATTCCGTGAGTCCGCTTCCAAAACGTCGATCTCGGCTTCGCTGGGGAATGTCAGCCAAAAGAAAGAAATTCCACATTTGACCCCACGTCAAATGATTCGATGTTCCTGTGGAGCAGAATATGGGTCGAGTCCTGGCCTGCGAAATCGGGGGCCTTAAAGCAGACAACTTGAACTCGAATCCCAATCGAGGATAAGGTCAAAGTTGTAACCCTCGACCCTACACGTCACAATGATATGGTTGCAAACCCTCTCACCTCCTCATTCGCCCCAGTGGCGATTTTTCTTTTTCTGTTTGCGAGGAAAATAAAATTTCATGTAGGCTTACTGACAGCGACTGCTAGCCTTCGGTCACTCTGCCACATTTACATCATTTCCGTAGGGTTTGAAAATAATTCAAACCAGAGAGGACGAATCCCCCCCCTCAGACCTCAATAACAATATTAAACAGATGGGTATGAATCGAAACGTGACTGCCGATTGAAGGCCTGAAAAGAAGTCGGTCATTGAACCGGGTCGCCCCAACATGACGTGTAAAGGGGCTTGTTTATGGTACCATGGAGCCCAAAATGATGTATTGCCCGGCCACCAACCGGGTCGTCTGCCCCGAATGAATCAAAAGTGATTGATTTCGAACAAGCAAAACGGGGGTAAGTGCCGCCCGTGTGCCGCGCTGGCAAAAAAACGTGAAAATTTTGATTAATGATACAGTGTGTCATGGTCTGCGGATTTCGGGGTCAACATGGGTATTTTTCCTCTGGACTTTCGTACAATGTCACATCCCCACGAAGTACAGTTATTATGACAAGCCACGCATTGGAAAAGTACTTTTGATATGTTTTTCTCTTGTACACGTGGTTAAAAAACGTCAGAAACGGTTAATGTACTTTGAGGGGGTTTCTATGAAGAACACCGAAATATGTTACTTGAAAGTCTGTAACACACATCTTCCAGTGGATAATTCCGAAGGAATTGGTGAATGGTTTTCCCGTGTTTTCCATATAAACTTTCGTTAATGTCTTGGTTAGTTAATGGACTTTTGCCGCTTAAAATACCTAACGCTGTCTACAGGTCTTTATAGTAGGAAAAAATGTATCAAATGCATCATTCTTACAAACGCATTGGTTATAAAAACAAGCAAAAATTGTCCTTCTTTTGTTGACTCCATATCTAACTAGTGTGGTTTTTTTTGGTCAGAATTCGAAAGCATGGAAATAATTGTCTCCTATCGTTGAATCGAAGACATTGTCACGAAACATCTCATCTATTTTAAGTGTTAAATACCAGAGGAAGCAACAGAGTCATGGGTAGGGGCCTACAGATAGATGGAGGGATGGAGTGCTTTGGTCTGTTGGTTTGTTCTAAAATGTTTCGTATTTTCTTGTTATCGTGAACCGGAACACGGAAAAACAGAGGGAGCAACGCAGATTTTAAGGGGAGAGAAAGCACGAAATTCGAGCAAACCACACGCAGGAGGGCACAAGGACCTTAGACTCGCGACGGACCAACACTCAGGCTCAATCTCTAGAGTTTCTACGTCTTTCTTTCTCACCGTTCCACACCCGGATCTCGTTGGTGTGCCCGGATCTCGTCGGTTCATTTTAACCCCTTATCATCCACAGTAGTCCGATTAAGCTTTGGGGAGGAAGTCCTTGCGGTAGAATCATCTTTTCTCTCCGATGTCAACTACCCTCCCCAAAATCCGCCCAGGACGCCTCTCGTAACAATTTAGACGCGCTCCGCTGGCCAAACTGAAGTTGTAGAATCTCGTAAACCCTGGATTCAGCAAAGAAAGAACCCCTCACTATTTTTATCAAGCACGCGGTCTTTTGTGACCAGATTTTGAAACAAAGTGTAGCTGAAATCAGATTTGCTGATAAAGCACTATATTACCTGAAAGTGCAGGGATTATCTTCATTGGGAACATCATTTTGAGCCTGCTATTATGAAGCTCTTTTGTTCCCGGCAGTCGTGCG